CACAATGATGTGACATTGTATACCAAGTTGCACCCTTGGTAGATGATGTCTGCTTTGATTTTGTGTCTTTAAAGGCCACACTTGTCTCAGTCATTACCATAAATATTCTGGTAACAGGGAAAATACCACTTTACATTTTATGATCAACCTGGTCATTTTCAGGAGCCCCCCACACACGATCTTCTTTCTCTCCTGTTCCGTCACCCACTATTAATTCACTTGGTAAATATTCAGAGAGCATCTGTAAGGTACCCTGCACAGCTCTAAGCTGCTACTCAGAGTTGAGATACTGAAACAGTGCCAACCCCATCAGTAAATAGCTGCTGCCCACAGCAACCACCCAGCCATACCGGCCACCTAGTCTCCTCCTGGAGACCCGCCCTGCCCACCCTAGATGGACTTCCCCATGACTCAGGAGAGCAGGAAACCATTCAGTTGGTGAACGCCTGGGCCTGAGCCCTTATTAAATATTTTATCACCCTCTAGACACAGGAACAAACAAAACCGACAAGGCCGTATCATTGAGTCTGCAAATGAAATAATAAGCAAGTAACTGCATAAACAAGTAAAGAGTAGCGTGTTGTAAAGAAAATAACATATCAGAGGGCTAGGATGACAGAGGTCGGAGAGGGACAGGACAGAATCTGCGAGGAAGTCGCTCCTGGATGGTAACATCAGAAGAAAGTAAGCCTGCAGAGGTCTGAAGTAAGAACATTCCAGACAGAGCAAAGAGAAATGCCAAGGCTGCCGAGTGGAATCAAGCACAGGATAGTCATAGTGAGAAGGCCTAGGGGATGGGTGCACCCTCAACAAGGAGACTACAGAGGCAGACAGGGTCAGATCACAAAAGATATTACTGGCATTGGGAAGGAAGACAAATGTCATGCTAAGAACAGTTAGCAATCACTAGACAGAGTTGAAACAGGGTAATGAAGCAGCCTAATTTGTATTTTTAAAAGATTGCTCTGATCATTATGTGACAAATAAATTAAAGGGCAGAAAGACTGTAAAGAGGAGGCAATGTACACGACTGGGGCAGTGACCCAGGTGAATGAAAACCGTGGCTCGGGTTAGGCAACAGCAACAGGTGAAAAGATGTGTCATGGTTCAACACGTATTCAGAGCAAGAGCTGATCAGACTTGCAGACAGGCACATAGGGAGGTAAAGAGACAAAGGGAATCATAATGACCACCGTTTTTGTATTGTGTTGTTTTGCTTTGCTTTGTTTTGTTTCTTTTTTTTCTTTTTTTGAGTTGGTGTCTCACTCTGTCACCCATGCTGGAGTGCACACTCATGACCACCGCAGCCTTGAACTGCTGGGCTTAGGCAGTCTTCCCGCCTCAGCCTTCCAAGTTGCTGGAAATACAGCCATGTGCTACCATGCCCAGCTGATTCTTTTATTTACTGTAGAGACAAGGTCTTGCCAAGTTGCCCAGGCTTGTCTCAAACCTCTGAGCTCAAGTAATCTTCTCTCCTCGTCTGCCAAAGTGCTGGGATGACAGGCATGAGCCACCACGCCCAGCTCTGACCGCTGTTTTTGATCCAGCCACTCACAGGCAGCAGTCCATCTACTACAGGGGAAGGACCGAAGAAAGACAAGGATTTGGGGAGAGAAGGAATGGCAAGTTCTGTTTTGCCACAATCAACATGAGCCATCCCAGAGATCTATGAAGTGGGGCCATCGGGCAGTGGATATTTGATCTTCTTAACAACGCTGTAAGGTCAACAGGGAGACCCCGGCATTATTCAAATTTTACAAATGAGAAAAATAAGACTCAGGAAAAAAGATTTGTATTAGTTCAAAATATTTTTATTAGGCAATTTTTTTTGAGTCAGGGTCTCACTCTGTCACATGTGCTGGAGTACAGTGGCACAACCATGGCTCACGTGACCTCAACCTCCCAGTCTCAGGTGATCCTCCTACTGCAGCCTCTTGAGCAGCTGGGACTATAGACGCAAGCCACTATATATGACTAATTTCTTTTCTTTTCTTTTTTAGTTGGAGTCTCACTCCACTGCCCAGGCCCAGAGTGCAGTGGCATGCTCACGGCCACCCCAGCATCGACATGCTGGGCTCCTGCAACCCTTCCATCTCAGTTTTCCAAGTAGCCAGAACTACAGGAATGCACTACCATGCCCAGCTAATTTTCTGATTTATTATAGAGATGAGGGCTCACCAATTTGCCCAGACTGTTATCGAACCTGTGGGCTCAGGTAATCCCCTCACCTCAGTCTCCCAAAGTGCTGAGATTACAGGTTTGAGCTATCAAGACTGGCCTAATTTCTTTTTTAAAACAATTTTTAGGGCAACCCCTTCGGGTTCCCTCCCACTGTGGGAGCTTTTCTGTCCTCTCAATAAATCCTGCTTTAAAAAAAAAAACAATTTTTGTAGAGACGAGGTCTCACTGCACTATGTTGCCCAGAATGGTCTTGAACTCCTGTGCTCAAGCACTCTTCCTGCCTCAGCCTCCCAAAGTGCTGGGATGACAGGTGTGAGACACCACGCCCAGTCAGTCAATATATTTATTAGTCAATCAGCCTTTGAATCTCCTGGCTTGCTCCATACAGGCCACACGGCTGCTCCAAAGTTTAAAGGTCCCTTGTGCCCAGAGACGATGTCCCCAGGAAACTGAGATGTACTCAGTCAGCAGCATGTGACACTCATAAAAGTTGACCAACACACTTGTGTAACATGTATGATCGACCATCTTACAAGACTACATCAGCAAGTAAAGATGTACACACGACACAAAGACGAGTGTAGATTCTCTTTAAGGATACACTGCAATTCCAGTTTCATTTTTATTAGGGGTTTGTGTCAAAAATCCTCCTGGGGAACGCCTTCCCAAAATTAGAAAAGAAAATCAATCAGGACAGCCTACACAGAAGAGCTACATCCCACGGCTTCTGGAACCGTGACTGTGACAGTGACCATGACTGGCAGTAAGATGAGCCCAGGCTGCACTCAGCAACTTCCCCCGTGCCGGGACTGCTCCTCCCCTTTTAAAGGGCTGGAAACATCTGCCTTAGGAGATGGACCTGATCACAGAGCTCACAGAGCTGTCATCACGAGCTCAGAGCTTCTGTGGTGCCCCCTGAATGAAGGCCCACACAGAACGGACAGGAAGGATCAAGGTAAAAAAAAAAACGAGGGAGGGAAGGGGGAGGAGGAAAGAAGAAGCCGCAGCAACCTCCCTCCAAGGCAGGTCCTGCACCAGGAAAGAGCCACAAGTTCCCCAAACCTGAGCAAAAGGCCCGCTTGGTCCAGGACTGGAATCCACAAGGTCATTTAAATTGAGTAGAAATATCAAGGGAAAGGAGAAATAAACACACGTACTTGATGCAGCTTCAGCATCTGGCTGAACCTTCAGGCCAGCAGCTAACCTCATGTTCAGTGTTCAAGCAAGAGCCCCAGCCTGGCTGGCGCACAAATAACCCCAGAGTCCCAGGAATGGAAGGATAGGCAGGGATTATCACACCCAATCCTGTCATTTTACAGATGAAGAAATGAAACAGAGCTAAGAGAGATCACATCCATCAGGACAGAGCCCTTCAGGGTGGCACATCTTTCTCCAAGTCCCAGTCACTGTTCCTTATACTATGCAGTGCTATCTACGGAGCAACCAAGAGACAGGGACACCAGGGATGGCCAGCATGGTCACAGCCCACCAAGAGAGGACAGGCAGGTAGAGCAGGGCATCCCTATACTGGAAACAAGGTCTTAGCCCACAGCCTGGCTGATGCCTGCCACTCCGCTCAGCCTACACCTGGTGACAGTGGATGGTCTTCCAGCAACACCACCGGGCATCTTCCCCGGAGCTTCTGGTTTTATGTGGCAGGGTGTGATGTCACGTAGCAGGTGCCCCCTTCCACCAGAATCTTAGTATGAGGGCCCTGAAAGGTCACGCAGCAGTGCAGCTTCAGGGCTACAGGAGCACTGGCCTCCCCAAGATGAGGAAAAATGATACCCTCTCTCCCTGCCTTGACACCAGCACTTCGTACCTGGGTATCACACACATCCCTGGAAAGTCACTCCAGGCTGCAAGTACACTTGAGCCCAGATGCTTTCTGTCTTCTAAGGCTTTGCCCAATTCCAGCACATTTAGAAACTTCCAGAAATATCAGCTCTACGGCTCTGTGGTGTGATCATGCAGCATTCCTATGACATTTTAGTGTTTCTAGAGAACAAAATTTCTAATCAAAATTACTTTTATCAAGTCTTATCTAGTTATTAGGAAAGCTATAATGTATGAAAGAGTTATACTCAGTTTACCTAGTGCAAACACTTTTACAGATGAATTAATAGATTGATAAAAATAATAATAATAGGCCAGGTGCAGCAGTTCACACCTGTAATCCCAACACTATGGGAGACCGAAGCGGAAGGCTTTCTTGAACCTAGGAGTTTGAGACCAGCCTGGACAACATATTGAGATCTTGTCTCTACAATAAATTAAAAAATTAGCCGGGTGTGGTGGTATACACCTGTAGTCCCAGCTACCCAGGAGGCTGAGGTAGAAGGATTGCTTGAGCTCAGGAGTTTGAGGCTGCAGTGAGCCATGATCATGTCAATGCATTCTAACCTCAGTGACAGAGTAAGACCTCCACTCAAAAAATAATAACAACCCTTCCCTGTGCAATCTAGGCTTTCTTACTTTCCCAAAAAAGGAACATCTCAACAGTCTTTATAAATCTCCCATAATGTTCACACAAACACACATTTTTTTCCTAGAAATGTCCTTTCTGGGTATTCTGCTTATTAAGACACCTATACAGCTGTGAAATTCAAGCTAACATGTTGCTGTTCCAAGATTCTCGTACTACTAGAGAATAAAATCTAGAGAGTAAACTCCCCACAAATGCTAGCCTACATTTTTCCATTCCAGATCAATTCCCAAACTGTTAATAATCCCCCTCATCTCCTAATCCCATGGAAAACATAGCAAAATCTCATTTCACTGTCCTCATTACAGAAAATAATCATGAAAAAAGTACTTACGGCATAGGCACCTATCAAAAAGGCAGCATTCGCTCTTTTCCGCTGGTCAAAACAGGTGTAGTGCACTATCTTCTTCCTTGATAAACTGTATGACTAGAAAAAGGAGATAAAAAAAAGAACTGGTGTAACTACAGAGACAATGTGAAAATATACAGGCGACAAACGTCATCTCTTAACTTTCATGCTGTATCCCAACCCCTAAAATTCAACAGCTTTCCATTGTCATTTCCAAGGTATTTAAATGAGAGCATTAGGGGCAGAGGGTTGTTTAGACCTTTTACAGCCCATTCATGATGTAAGAATCAACAATATAAAAATATAATGAATATTATCTGCCTGGCACGGTGGCTCATGCCTGTCATCCCAGTACTTTAGGAGCGAGAAGCAAAAGGATTGTCTGAGTCCGGGATTCGAGACCAGCCTGGGCAACTTGGCGAGAACTCGTTTCTACAATAAATCGAAAAAATAATTAGCTGGGCATGGTAGTATACACCTGTAGTTCCAGGTACCTGGAAGACTGAGGCAGAAGGAACACCTGAGCCCAGCAGGTCAAGGCTGCGGTGGCCGTAAGCATGCCACTGCACTCCAGCCTCGGTGACAGAGTGAGACCTCGACTCAAAGAATAAATAAATAAAATATAATATATTCGACAGTATAATCTTTCCAAGAAAAGTAATTGACACAGCAGAAAACCATTCAATTGTTGGCACCCGATTAGCAGGAGTCATTTCTGATGACTTGTTCTTGGTCTTATGTAGAAAGTCTATTCACCCTCTCTCACTCCCTATGTGCCATTCCTACTTCCTGGAGAGTTAGTTATCTGTACTTCTCATACTATACAGTTGGTCTTTAAATGTGTCAACAAGTCTGTTGTCTTCTCTAAAAATTGTTATTTTAAAGCCCAATATGAATGGCCAGGTACATGGTGGATCATGCCTGTAATCCCAGCAGTTTTGGAGACCAAAGTAGGAGGACCGCCTGAGGCCAGGAGTTCAAGACCAGCCTGGAAAACATAGCAAGATCTCATCTCTACAAAAAAATTTTTAAAGTAGCCAGGCATGGTGGTGCATGTCTGTAAGGAGGCTGACGTTGGAGGATCACTTGAGCCCAGGAGTGTGAGGTTATGTGACCTTTGATCACACCACTGCACTCCAGCCTGGGTGACAGAACAAGACCCTGTCTCTAAAACAAAAAAGAAGAGAGAGACAGAGACCAGTATTAAAATTGTCTTTCCAGGATGTTCTACTATAATTCCCTTTTAATATCTGAAAATAAGTGGTTAATAGAAAAAAATGAACCATCAAAAGGGTTATATTAGCAAATATCTTACTACAACAGCCATATATTACATTCATGAATTCAAACAGTTATTAAGCATCTGCTGATGCCAGGCAATATGCTGCATGCTCAAGTATTTAACTGAATTCAAAATAATCCACATGCTAGATTGTATACATGTTAAGCATATAGAGCAGTGACAAAAAAGATCTTTTAAAAGGAAACTAAATTGCCGGGCTTGGTGGCTCAGCCTGTAATCCCGCACCTTTGGGAGGCTGAGGTGAGTGAATTGCCTGAGCCCGCGGGTTCGAGACCCGCCTGGGCAGCGAGATCTCATCGCTACAATAAAATAAAAAAATCAGCCGGGTGGCGCATGCCTGTAATTCTGGCTACTCGGAAGGCTGAGGTGGAAGGATCACCGGAGCCCAGCAGGTCGAGGCTGCAGTGGCCGGGAGCAGCCACTGCACTCCAGTCTGGGCGGCAGAGTGAGACTCCAACTCAAAAAAAAAAAAAGGAAACTAAATTATTAATCAAAACTCAAACAAATATGAAACAATGAGAACACAGATGTGACTCAATGAAATCTGCTCAATTTCCTTACATTTCAAAAGTTATAATATTTTGACAAATGGTATTCAAAATATAGGCACATAAGTATATTTTAAGATCTGTCTGTAAATCCATATTGACAATAAAAGTCACTTTTTAAACCTTACATGTAGACCACAACACAGAGAATCCATGCTTTCAGAGACCCTTTAAAAATGTCAGCAGAGCTCCACTCCCTATGTTTCCTGACGCTAATTGGACAATACTAACCCTGAGAACTCTGAACTATCCATCCACCTGGCAACACACCAGCATGTAGTCCATTGCAAACCATGACCTGTAGCCATGGGCCACCTTGTATTTTAGATTCCTGCCTTGAAACTGTAGCCTTAAAGCCTCAGGCCACTCCCAGCCTGAGTGGACCCTGCCAGCCCTCTAAAGTGACAGCAACAGCGAACAGGTACCAGTCAACTTGAGACATTCCACCCATTTCCAAAGCTATACTAACAGTGCCAGAGGGGTACAGTTTAACCAGACACAGTGTCCCCCAAACTAGAGGTGCTAATGATTATACTATGTCTTAGGAAAAACACAGGCCTGGAGTCAGAGAGGGCCTGCCATGAACATTCACCCAGGAGCAGTCCAGAACACCCCATGGAGGACAAGAATTTGTGTAAACCTCAATAATGAGGCCATAACAAGACTCGTGGTTCAGAATCTAAATAGTCTCAAGTTGAATTGGTCGACATTACTAAAGTTTTTTAGAAATAACAAACAAGTCAAATCTAAACTATATTATATTTTGTTACTATATTATGTTTTATCCTCTTAAAAGAATAGTTCAGCTGGACACAATGGCTCATGCCAGTAATCCCTGCACTTTGGGAGGCCAAGGTGGGAGGATCGTTTGAGTGCAACCTGGGCCACACAGGGAGACCCAATTACTGCAAAAAGTCAATTAGCCAGGCATGGTGGCACACACACATGTAGTCACATCTACTCAGGAGGCTGAAATGGGAGGCTCACTGGAGTCCAGAAGGCTGAGGCCACAGTGAACTGTGATCGTGCCACTGCATTCCAGCCTGGGCAACAAAGTGAGACACCGACTCAAAAAAATAAAAATTTTTTAAACAGAAAAAAAAAAGGTCGGTCATGGTGGCTCACACCCACAATCCCAGCACTTTGGGAGGCCAAGGTAAAAGGATTGACTGAGCCCACAGGTTCAAGACCAGCCTGGGCAACTTGGCAAGACCTCATCTCTACAATAAATCAAAAAAAGTAGCCAGGTTTGGAGGTGTGTGTCTGTAGGATAGCCTAAACCCAGCAGGTTGAGGCTGCAGTGGCCATGAGTGTGCCACTGCACTCCAGCTTGGGCAACAGAGTGAGACTTCAATTCAAAAAAGACAGACTGGTTCAGAATCACCTGGAAGGCTTATTTATTAAAATACAGGTTACTGGACCCCACCCACAGAATTTCTGATTCAGTAGGCCCTAGGAATATACATTTGTTTTTTCCTCAGGCAATCCTTCTGCCTCAGCCTCCCAAGTAGCTGGAACTACAGGTGCATGCTACCACATTTGGCTAATTTATTTATTTTTTGTAAAAACGAGGCAAGGTCTTGCAATGCTACCTAGGCTGGTCTTGAGCACCTCAAGCAATGCTCCCACCTCAGCCTCCCAAAGTGCTGAGATCACAGGCATGAGCCACCACACTCAGTTGATAACATGCATTTCCAAGAGGCCCTCCAGTAAAGCTGAAACTGCCAGTCCAGGGGCCACACGCTGATGTCCACTGCTCTAAGACACTGCTAAATGTCAGAGAAGAGCTGCATGAGCATGTGACTAGTCCCACCCTTGGAATCTTCTATAGATGCTAAAACCTGTCCATGGGGTCAAACAGCCCCAAAAGAACTCTCCTATAAAGGAATTCCAGGCCGGACTCAGTGGCTCAGCCTGTAATCCCACGCTTTGGGAGGCCGTGATAAGTGGATTGCCTGAGCCAGCGGGTTCAAGACCCATCTGGGCAACTTGGCGAGACCTCATCTCTACAATAAAATCAACAAAAAAAAATTAGCCAGGCGTGGTAGCGCACGCCTGTAGTTCCAGCTACTTGGAAGGCTGAGGCAGAAGGATCGCCAGAGCCTAGCAGGTCGAGGCTGTGGTGGCCAGGAGCGGCCATTGCACTCCAGTCTGGGCGACAGAGTGAGACTCCAACTCAAAAAAAAAAGCAATTCCAAACTACACCATAAGGCTCTCGAAAGCATGTTACAAAAGCACACATTGACCCAGGCTCCTCTGAACACATTATGACAATGTATAAATTCGTGCACTCCAGGTGATAACACCTTAGGAATAAGTCGATTCCATAATTAAGCTGCCTTCAATAGCTCATCCCAGAGCTTCCAAATTCACATGCTCTCAGAGGCCGTGAGTCTGAAGTAGGCCAGCTGACAAACCAGAAAAGCACCCCCATCCAGGGCAAGCTCTGCACCAACCCGTTGCTTCCACACAGGCATCTGCTCACAGCTTGTGCAATACTACAATGTTTAAAATCAGTTCAAAATCTAGAATTCTGGGGAAGTTTTCAAACACCACAGATGTTGCCTATGAATCCACATTTTTTTAAGCACGTCCAACAAAACCCAGCCATGGACTGAATGCAGCCCATGGGTGACCAGCTGGCCAGGACACTGCAGTAAAGAAAGTTCTGTTGGTTCTGTTGGTGTGAACTGAGCCGAGCAGCAGCTGCTTGTCAGACACTCTCCCGAGCAATGCGGTAACAAGGAGAAGGGACCCCCAACTTCCAACCCCAGACACTCACAGTCTAGTAAACATTTGATGCTCAATACTGGCCCAGGCATATTACAAACAGAAGAGGAGAGCCGCACAGGAATACGGTCACAGCACACAGGGATCAGTGAGATGGTCTTAATGACAGGGACAGTAATTGTTTCACTGAACAGGGCAAAAAAATAGCAGGTAAAAGTTAGGATTTAGTACTATCTATCCATTAACATAATGAAGCCTGCAGAAATTTCCAGACCTTTATTGCTTACCTGAGAGTCAAAGTTTTACCCCTTGTATAGAAATCATGATAAGTGGCTATCAAAGAAATACTTAATGGCACTCGTAAACCAAAGTATAATGATGGGTGTAATAGGACAACACACATTAAGATAAGGGTGTCACCAGGCGCGGTGGCTCATGTCTTTAATCTCAGCACTTTGGGAGGCTGAGGCAAGAGGACTGTCTGAGCTCAGGGGTTC